CTTGAGTCGTTCTTGGGTCACAAATGATTGTTAATTTATTGTTTTATGCATGTTTTAAATATTATCATTAAGATATAATGAAATATAGATTTATTTATGATATTGCTCGTGATATTATGAATATGATGCGTATTAATGAACATCGATTTTTCTTTCATTAATTTAATTTAGGGTCCGTTTGATTGTAAAGATGGAATTTGGGTGGAAAGAAAATGATTCCAGGGAATTGAATTGCCTAAAAATTATTTTCCTGAGAATTGTAAATTATTTTGTTTGATTGGTATGATTTTCTATGTGGAAAATGTTAAAATAAAAATATTTTATGGTGTTCGTTTGGCTTTATTTTACATGAAAATTTTCATTTAAAGAGATAGAGTGCACTGGTATGGAGATGAAATTTGTTTTCATTGCACAAAAAAAAATTAAAAATAAAGCCAAGAAAATCATTTATCTTTTAGTGTTCGTTTGACTTTGTTTTACATGAAAATTGTCAATTAAAGGAATTTTTTTTTTTTTTTTACAATCAAGGATAAATTTGTTTTCATTACACACAAAAAAAAAAAAAAAAAAAAAAAAAAAAAGGAATGACTGGAAAATCAATTCCCACATTGATTTTGCCAAAAAACCAAGAAATAGTATACATGGTTGGAAAAAGCAAGAAAATCTATTCCCTGGAAAATAATGCTATCAAATATGCAATTCTTGGAACTTGGAATTGGAATTCCTAGTTCCATGGAAAACTTTGGCCAATCAAACATGACCTTAGATTAAATTTTTCTGGATAGAGAAATCGAATAATTAAACTGTATATTAATTTGATTAATGTAAACAGTTGATAATTATTTACATTTTTCTTGATTAATTTAGTGCATGCTTGGTTTGAATTAAAATCCAATTTTAATATAAGTCAAAGTCAAATAATCGATATTAATCACATCTTTCATGGGTTCCACAACTTTTCAACCACATATTTCAAAAAATTCTATCACAATCTACTAAAAAATCTAATTTTAATTCCCACCAAACACCCTTTTAATTTAGATTAAATTTTTTGAGAAAGAAAATTTTGTAATAATTAAATTGTATATTAATTTGAATAATGTGAACTGATGATAATTATTTAATTTTCTTGATTAATTTAATTTAGATTAAATCTTTTTGGAAGGAACTTCGTAATAATTAAATTGAATATTAATTTGATTAATATGAACAGTTAATAATTATTTAAAATTTCTTTGATTAATTTAATTTAGATTAATTTTTTTTGGAAGAAAAATTCATAATAGTTAAACTGTATATTAATTTGATTAATGTGAACTATTCATAATTATTTAAATTTTCTTCGATAACTTAATTTAGATTACATTTTCCTAGAAGGAAAATCTGTAATAATTAAATTGTATATTAATTTGATTAATGTGACCATTTGATAATTATTTAAAATTTCTTTTATTAATTTAATTTAGATTAATTTTTCTGAAAGGAAAAATCGTAATAATTAAACTGTATATTAATTTGATTAATGTGAACAGTTTATAATTATTTATAATTAAAATCCATTACTTTAAAAACAATGAGTGGGAGCGGGTGTTTATTTAAGTAAAAACTCATGATCTCATTTGGTCAATGCATAAGTAATACACTTGCCTCATGCTAGTAATGCAACGAACTCCCTACAGGAGGGTCACGTAGTTCAAATTGTTTGATTGGATTCATCCACGGTAAGATCGTCATGATAAGAATATAATTTGTGATCATCATCTAGATGACGAAATTAATTTCAAGTATCTAAAAATTCTAGGTAAAGGTTATATGTTCAAATCAAGATCATCAACGAACCTCCTATAGAGGCTCTCGTCTACAATTTGTGATCGAATAAAACGATAGCAGACTTGTATAGACATTTGTTGTTAGATATGATTTGTCTAGTGGGGGTCTCAACTTGATCAGTGAATGCAGTGACCTTTCCTATATAGAGGCCTTTTGGATCACAATGATCAAATAGTCATTGTATTATTGTAGTTGGATTGATCTACATGTGTATTCATACATCATATGCAAAATTATTATTTTCTGCTCAATTTTAATATACAATGTATGATTATTTTTTATGCGAAATATCACTTTGCCAATTTTTCGGTTATCCTAATACAAAACCAACAAATCGAGAAAAATTATGTGGATTGAAAACCTAATAAATGATTATGCTCGATGTGGAAAAACTTTATTTTATGCTTATGAGATGTCCTGATGGACCTATTAAGACTATGTGACAAATCTAAAAAGCTGGATATGATGGGTGGAAGATTGCAGAAAGATGGCTAACTCTTTTTAAATTCGATGTTAAACATGTTCAACAAAAGGTTTGAAAGTCAGAGTATCTCTGATAACATACTACAGACCCTTCAAGACATGTTTAGTCATCGAAGTAGGAAGGTTTTTTTAAAGTCTTTTGATCTCATAGAATATTTGCATGAAATTCAGAGTGTCTGTGAAGTTTCATAGCTTGACTACGAATGCATATTTCAAACCTGGTTGAGAGTTTGGGTGCAACCATATATCAAGAAGACTCAGTTTGACATGGTATTGAATTCTTTATCTAATAATTTTTCATTGTTTAATGTGGACTATTATTCCATAAGATGAAGATACCATTAACTGAGTTAATAATAGAGTTGTAATGTAAAAAAATTGTCTTAAGAGTACAATGACGAAGCTCGTGCATCATTTGGTGGCTCCTTTGGTTCCAAGCTAGAAGGCAGCTTTGAAAAGAAAAGGAGGAAAGCTATCAAGAAGTATGAGAGCAACAAAAGATCCAAAAATAGATGAAAAACCTTGAGACAAGTGTTCCAACTACAGTTGAAAATGACACTAGAGAAAGACTGCCCAGATGCAGCATCTAGAAAGCAAAGTGTGGGTAAAGTTTTTTGTTACTGAGTATTGTTCAGTAATTGACACTACAAATTTCTAAATTGTAGATTTTGGAACCACTAATCATATCTATGTGATGATGCGGGTGCTTCAGGAAATAGAAAACTCAGTGAAAGTCAATTTAAAATTATCATTGGTATAAGAGTATTTTGTTTTTATTTCAATAGTGGTAGGCATACGATACTTAAAGACTGTTATTTTATCTCGCGAATGAAGTAGAAATTTGTTTTCTATTTTTGATTTAATAGGACAAGTTTATTCTATAAAATCAGTATTTAATACGCTTAGCATTTTAATAAATAAAGTTTCCATTTGTGCTAGACATTTGATTATTGGTCTTTATATTTTAAATTATTTCACATATGAAATAAAAAGTTACTCTTGTAAATCATAAAATATCGTACCATAATAGTGATACATATCTATAGTGTCTTAGACAAATTAACCTTAACAAAATACAAAACTAACTAGAGATGGTCCTTTCAACTCAGTTAATATCGAACCATTGTTAATTTGTAATTCTTATTTGGAAGAAAATATGAACAAGATATCCTTTTTTAAACAAGAGATATACTCAAAGATATATTAGAATGAGTTCATTTTGATATATGTGGACCTATGAATACACTTGAGAGAGGGAACTAGGAGTATTTTTTTTTTACTGATTATTATTATGGCTTCAAATATATTTACCTAATGGCTTGAAAGTCAAATAAGTTTGAGAAAAATCAAAAGAGTATATGACTATGGTCGAGAAACATTTAGGTAAGAGTATTAAGACACTTCGATCTGATCGAGGTGGTGAATACCTCTTAGGAGAATTCAAGGATAGCTTAACAGAAAATGGTATTGTCTCTTAATAGAATACGCCTATTATATCTCAATAGAATGGCGTTTCGGAAAGGAAAACACGACATTATTAGATATGGTTGGATCAATAAAGAGTTTCACAATTCAACCTATCTCATCTTAAGATATACACTGAAAACAGTTGGATATATTCTTAACTTAGTTACTTCTATGTCTATTCTCAAGACTCTCTTGAAATTTTAGAATGGATTCAAGTCCTACTTGCATCACATCCAAAATTTTGGGGTCCAGCTCATGTGTTGAAAGAGAAGGCAGAAAAGTTAGAGTTTAGATCAAAGATATACCTGTTTGTGGGATATCCTAAAAATACTAAGGGATAATTTTTTTATATAATTCCCTAGATAGGAATGTCTTTGCCAGCACAAGTGCAATATTGATCAAGGATAAGTATATTAATGACCGTTAGTCCAAATATAAGACCGTGTTGGAAGAAATGAGCGCCACCTAATCAATTCCTAGAACACAACCTGGGATAGACATCCCATGGTGTCAAATATATCTGGACAAAGTAATATGAGTGGGAGAGATGAGTTGTCATCTGATCCAATAGGTCAATAAAATGTTAAAGGTAATGAGGAGGTAATATTGTCATCTAGTGGTAATGCCAGAATTGATAAAAATATTACATTCCAAATGATGCCACGGTCCTAGATTAATCGTCCTTTAGACAAAGTCGGATGATTATCAGTTCACCTCCAAAGTACTTGTTGAGTGGAGAGTCCAATATGATGATCTCTATGGTACAAGTTGATGATCTGACTTTATATAAAGAGGTTATGGATGAAACGATCTACTTATGGATTCGACAAAGAGATTAAGACATATGGTTTTAATCAAAATTTTGATAAACCCTGTGTCTATAAGAATACATAAGACAAAATTGTATTTTTCTTAGTGCTTATGTAGAAGAATTTAGGTGCGTTATTGTCTACGAAAGTGTGGTTGGCCCAATAGTTTTATATGAAAGACTTAGGCCTTGCATTATTCTCATTTTTTTCTTTCTTCTTTTCAACAATGTATTCTTTAATAAAATAACATTACACGCAAATTCAAAATTTTTCTTTATTTTTAACTATACATTCTCCATCAATCTACTAGTCCAAAATATATTTTTCTAATTTAATGGGGCTCAAACAATTACCTAGTGAAACTAGCTATATTCTAGATTTCAGATATTGAGAGATCAAAAGAACAAGATGATGGCTTTGTCCCAAGTTTTGTATGTTGACAAGATACTTGTCAAATTTGCTATGCAAGATTCTGCCATCAGGAATCGAATCCAACTGTCTAAGATTCAGTTCCCTAAGAGTCCTAAAGGGATTGAGTACATGAATAGGACACCTTCTACATTGGCAGTAGGTAGTCTCATGTATGATATGCTATGCAATAGACCCGACATTTGTCATTTTGTTGGTGTGGGGAGTCAAAATCTATTTAACCTTAGGATTAAAACATTGAATGGTAATTGTTCACGAAATATTTCTTTCGATTTAAATTACCGCAAGTGTACGGTTCGTTAACAAGTAATAAAGTGGATCAATTGAGTCCGAATATCGTCCCACAGAGATTGGTTGTTCAATTTTACTTATCCCGACCTTAACCGAAACAAGAATGTCAAATGTGATTTTTGCAATGTAATTAAACCTACTCTAAATTACGGATGCAAATGTATGAGAATTAAATAAACTAAAATACATTGTGACGTTTTGAATGCAAGTTTAACGTAATAAATGAATGACGAATGTACTAGGGTAGCGAATCCCTATGAAATAATCATTTTTAACCTTAGTTTTACAATTTGACGACACGGTTAGATTTTGAAGAATCAATGTTCCTAAATCTATTCAACACTCTCTCTCGAGATGTATCGAACCTATTTTTACATACCACCGGCCTATATTTCTATGACAAGTGCATATATAAAAATGCATGTGGTTTTGTGAACACTTAAAGACTCACGCAAGGCATAGCGGTATATCTCTATCCCCTATCGGACCCTACAATGATTTATACCCTGTCGAACCTATTCCACTTCTCTCGAATGCAAGAACAAGTCACCAAACTCACACAAATTACGTGCACGATAATTGCGGAGAAAATAAGTGCATATAAATCATTCAAATTCCAAACGCATGTTTTAATGTCAAAAACGTAAACTAGAGATTAAAAATTCATATAACAAAGTTCATCGTTTTCCTAGCACGAACAAGTCTACCCGAACATAATGGTGGAATTAAATAAATACAAGTGGAACGAAATCACCAAAAATTGACGGAACGCGATCAACATCCAAATTCCTTCCAAAGGCAATCTGAAATTATTCCTTCAACAGCTTGTTGTCCGTCTCTCTTTTCGCGTCTTTGCCGTGTGTAAATAATATGAATATGTAATCTGCAGCCGCCAATTCTATTATCCAATTGAAAATTCCAATTCCGGCAGTCGATTTGTCCTTAATTTCCTCACAGCTTGGTTTCAGTTCCTTATGTATATTTATTTCCACCTTGCAGCCGCCTTTTGTAGTCTCAATTAATTCTCAGCTGCTGCCTTTTGTTTGTATATGTATGCTTCAATTCCTTCCCAGCAGCTGGCCGATTTGTGGGAATTATGTACGTATATAAGTCGACTTTTCAGCCCACTCAAATTTTATCAATTCCGCACTCAGTTCTCGGCCTCCAACTTGCCGTTTTTCTGCCTATATATAATATATTCAACTCAGCCCCGGCTTCACCAATCTGATTTCGGCTTTCTGTATGTATATATACAATTAATTCCCAGCCTTGAGCCGCCGACGTGCGTATATGAATAATCCCCAGAAGGGGTTCCAATTATCTCCCCCACGGCTGCCTTTTCAATCTGTACGTGTGTATCATATATATACCAAACAATTAAGCCCTTTTGTAGTCTTGTAAACAAATTAGGAGTCCAAAGTTGATACCAAATAGAGTCCAAACTAAGGCCCAATATATTTTATTTTCTCTCCTCCATTCGGCAGCTTCTTTTGCTGTTATTCAAGACCCATTTTAAATTCCAATGCAATATTTATCATCCAAGTCCTCAATTCATTCAAGTGATGCATTTTAGTCCCTGTCGTTTTCTCCCGTTTTGGTCCTTTTTCGTTCATTTTCTCTTGAATTTCGCCATAGTCATCAACATTGTCCTACAAAACGAAATTATATAGAATTAAGTCATATTCAAACACTTTTATCAACAATTAGTCATGTTTTGTGGACCAAATAAGTGTGTAAAAACGCACTTATCAGTAATAAAGCATATCCTTTAGTATCTCTGGGGAATGAAGAATAATATGCTCATCACCGGATATTGTTCGATGCATTAAAAGGATTTGGACTTTCAAAATGATGAAGACTATCGTAGGTCTACATTAATATCGTTGTTTACATTTGACGTTGGGGCCATTATTTGGAGAAGTACCAAGCATTCATGCATTGCTGATTCCGCTATTGCTGCAAAGAGTTTAGGAGCTTATGAAGTTACTAAATTGGTTGTATGATCCAAAAATCCTAAGGACATCGAGGTGATATCTGCATCTACATAGCCCTTTACACTGTATTGAGATAATAGTGAGACTGTGACAAATGTTAATAAATCAAGAGTCATCAGAGGGGTAAACACATTGAACAAAAATATTATCTCTTAAGAGGGATAGTTGGTAGAAAAAAAGGGGCTTGTCAATAAGATTGCTATTGGGATAAACTTGTAGACTCATTTACTAAAAGCCCGTCGGCTAAGGTTTTTGAGGGATATTTACAAGACATGAGGTTGCAAGATATGACACATATACTCTAGGGCAAGTGGGAGATTTGTTTGGTTGTGTGACTATATATTATATCTTACTATGATAAAATATAATTTATAATAAATAAATTGTGATTTTAGTTATTTATTGTATTTATTTATTATTGAGCATGTGAATCAAAGTGTCTACGATCACTTGTGATAATATAAGTTGGATGCTTGCGTTGAGAAGTACAGTGTGACACAACTTATATTTTGATCATAAATAATATGTTCACAATCAATGTCTACGGGTTGGCACCTTGTATCTGAAGATTGTAGTGTTGACCGATTCATTATTCAGGTTTGTGATTTGTTCTAATCACAGAAATAGTTAAAATTGACACTAATAAACTTGGAGTGTATTGAACGAACCACGTGTCGAATTTAATTATATAGCATGATTGTACGGAGAATTAAATTCCACTTGACCGCTATGTATTTCATCAAATCCCTTGACAGAGTTTAATTTTAATGGTCCTTTGATTTGTCAATGTGTGTGATCAATTTGATTGGTGAAATATCTCAATAAATTGGCAACTTGAGAATAAGCGAAGAAGAAAACATGAATTCGTGTCAAGAACTGTCACCTGAAAAGGGTAGAGTAACTGTTTAAGTACTTTCTGTTGACTGAGTTAAGCGTTTAGTGAAGGCTAAATTTTGACATTTGTGATTAGTTCAAAGGATCGTTGAAGAAAATGGTACTTAAATTACTTAGAATAATTAGAAAGGCAAAACAATCATTTATGCTCGTGCCTAATTATCGAATCTCGGATGAAGATAAAATATATATACAACGTGTTAAAGGAAAGTATTTTAGATTTGTTGATTTCTGTAATCTTCTATATTTTAAAAGTTCAGTCTTTTGTCTATAGTGAAAAAACAAAGACTAATAATTAGATTGGGTAATCTAGGATCAACTAGAAATGATCTAATTATTGTAACTTGGATAATGTATGTTCGATCAATTCCTTGTAGTAGCTCTATAAAGTATTAAGACTTAATTACAATAATTATAGACCGAGCTTATTGACATTAATGTTATGTAGATTGAAAGCCTTTCTATTTAAATATTACCTAAATTCTAATACATTGAAGATACTCTCAATTTTATCTATATAATCTCAATAATACTTTTGATTATTTACGTAATAAAAACCACTTTAACGTGGATACTTAACAAACCTACCTACTTTTGCAACTAAAATTAAAACATCACCTTCAACAAACTTACTAGTGCTATTTAATACCACCATCAAATTTGAATATTTTACCAGCAATTCGTGCAATAAATTGCATTGAATTTATTCAACTGCTTCCATCAACTCAGCTACTAATTAGGAAGACAATACATAAAGACTGTAAAATCAAGTTGGGTCTCCCATTCTTGTTCTCAAAGGTCAGTGCTAGATGTATGCTAAACTGAATATTAATGAAAAGGGTAACAATCAATCATATCACTTGTCTTTCTTTCTTAATTTTATTCAATTCAACATATCAAATACATATATTGCATATTTGACGAGCATTTACATGGAGAGCAGAAGGGATCTTTTCCAGTTTTAACTGCTTAACCTATGATCAATTTGCATGAAAATTACTTTATGGGGCTACCAAAGAGACTGTTATATCTTACTAAAAAGATTTATTGATTTTCCCCCTGGATCTTGTAAATCGTTCCACAATTTTTTCTATACATTTTCTTACCATTTAAAAACTTTTTTTTAAAAATAAAAAATAAAACAATCCAAAGGCTGGCTTATATTTCATGAGCATTTGAAAGTAAAATAATAATAATAATAAATAAAGTTTTCAATTTTAGCTTGCGATTTTACGAAAACAAGAGATAAGAGTAAAAGAGGAAAAGCAAAATGGAAAATTTTATGCCTCATATTCGAAGCTCTCAATGAAGTCCTCATCGAAGCCACGTGAGGGCACTACATGCAAACAACTGCAATCAACAAAATCAAAAATAAATAAAGGGAAAAACTTGTTATTTGGCCGAAACACTATCTTTATCAAAAGTTCTTTGGCAATAGCACTTCCTCTATTGGCTTAACCTTTGCACATATGAAACTCTCTCTTAATGCCGAAGCACTTCCTGCCTTTAAAGCAAGTTTGTAGAGTATTTTTAAGAATAATTGATCTAATGTTTGTGTTAATGAATGTTAGAATTCTCAACATAGGGAGTAGGACGGCTGACCCCTTATCAATGTAAATAACGTATGACAGAGTGCGATATGAGGCTCCGGTCAATAGGATGAGGCCACGTGGTTTTGATCCAACGGTGACCACATCAGCCTCAATTATATAAATAGACGCTCTTGTAGCAGTTGAAGGTATTGAAAAAATATATATATACCTAAATTTTATATACTTGAAATTCGAACTCTCTTGCTCGTCTCTTGATGTTTGAGTTTGGATTCATTTTATTTTCATAGAATCACTTGCGATTGACTTTTGGTTTAACAACTACCTTTGATCACATTGTGCTGCCCGAACCTTTTCATCTTGTCTCATAGAGCATCTCCTACGTCCATTATTAATGTTATGACTCTTTAACTGTATCTCTGGTCTAAACTTGACGAAATTTCCTCGTGTAGTCACAAGTGGGTCCAATATCTATTGTCCACGTTGCCATTGCAAAAAAAAAAAGGGGGGACGTTCAATGACCAACAATTTTTTTACCCCTTTATATACACAAAATATGTACATAATCTGTTGAAACTCAAAACTTGAAAGCGAAGCAATATATTTGCCCAGGGGCATGCAAATTCAATTGTAAGTATAACAGTAGCAAGCTTGGTCTTACTTAAAACTAAAAGAAGCATTTTCTTTTAACAATAAATGTTTAAAAAGGTCAAGGTAGCAGCAACGATGGTGTAACATTGAATTTTACTTGTGCTGGTGGAGCAGCCACGATGATGGTGAAAATACGCATCAAAATGTGTGTAACACACTATGCTGTTTGAGCCTCATTAAATTTATAGGATTAATCCTCTTGTACATTCAAGGTTTACATCTTGGATTACATCCCATTAAGTGTAAAACTCGAGGCCATTGATTTGGGGGGGTGTCCTCAATCTAGAGTTTGATAGATTTTAAAACTCCATATAAATTGAAGTATCCTCAATTCAGATTTAAATATAATTCATTAAAATATAGGTATCTCCAATCTAGATTTTTAAAAATACTTATAAATTTAGGTGTCATCAACATAGATTTTAATAGGTAGTTTTGAAATTTAGATGTCCTCAATAACTAATTGATTTTAAAAAATTTCATTAAGTAGATAGATTTTGATAGATTTCAAGGTAAAAATATAAGTACAAAGAATCAGTAACAATTTTAACCCAAACCTAAAAATTTCACAACATTTCTCACCTCTCTCCATATCTGCCGCCCTCTCTCTCTCTCTCTCTCTCTCTCTCTCTCTCTCTCTCTCCTATCTTGAAAAAAATTTCTTCCTCTTTCTATCTCACATTTCTCTACTGTGAAAAGATCGTTTATGAGAACTTTTCAATTGATAATAATTTATGAAAGATTACTATTTTTTGTTGAATATTGAGTGTGATTTTTTATTAAACTTATTTTTTCTTATTGAAACTATATATTGTTTACTATTTTATAGATGCGCTGGAAATTATCACGGTAATTTACGATTTCTAGTATGCATATTGAAACAACTTCGTCTTTCAAATTTTGTACCCTATTCATTTTTCTTGGGAAGAGCTGTGTGTTTTCTATATACACCTGCAAATCCTAGCCAAAACATGTGAGGATGGTATCCCACAATTTTTTCTTTTGTGTCTGCATGGTCAAT